TAAGTGTCCAGTTTAAGGGTATTACACAGAAACATACCAAGGGAACATGAATCAAATATGCACTTTTATTCATTTATAATAAACTCATAAAGTACATCATTCTGATTGAAGCTAAGGGCATACAAAACTGTCTAATAGCGACCAGGGTTCAAATCTTGGAAACAGACTCTGTGTATATACAGGGATAAGGCTGCATATATATGTCCTTCCCCAGACTCCACATTGGTAGGAACCTTGTGTACTGGGCTTCCCTTTTAGATTTCTAATCTCCCCCAAACCCCTAAACTCACCTAAAATGATGGTTTCATCTACCAACTATAAATGGCATGCCGACTTTCCATTTTTCCCTTTATGAAGCCTCTTATGGACCCTCTTTCATTAGCTCTCTGAAATAGGCTACTCAAGATTTGTGCCACAAGAATAAATAGTAAAAGAGAGAGATAGAGAAAGGATCTCCTTGTATAATACCTCTAGTGGCTTTAAAAAGATTGAGGGTGTGCCATTTGACAAAATGGAAAAATGAGCTGAAGATAAACAACTCCACATCACTTGATTCGGTTAGACGTAGAACCTCTTTTCATTCTATTGAGAAGTACTATAATTTTATGAATATGAATAAATGAATATTATAAGTACAATAATGCATCTAGCATCCCCAGATATTGGCCTAGCCCACTGTAACCACCCCTGTTATTTTCTGGCAACCCATTAGCAGATCATGAAATGCAGTTACAATTTGTTCTCAGCTCTGCAGCCAATCTCTCAACTTCCCTCATTACAAATTTGTATCTCCAATAACCTGTACTGCTCTTTTTTAACCGGCTTGCATATCGAGATCTTGTGGTAAAACCCAACTTTTCATCTCTTTTCTCTTTCCTTTATAATTTCTCTCACTATGACTGTTGTTTTATTGTTATTAGTTTTCATTAAAGTTTATTCACTTGATTAATTTATAAATGCCTGGGAACTGTGAAGTTGAATTGATTGAAAAATAAAAATGCATACAAGCGGTACAAATGGTATAAACAAAAGAGGGGCAATATTTTTGTGTGAGAGTGACTGCACAGCAATAACAGAGTGGGCATGATGAGATCCTTTCTCTTTTACTGTTTTCTGATTGTGGACATGATGAAGCTAACATTTACTTCTATTGAATACTCTAAGGTCCATAATTGAAAAGCTTGGAGATGAAAGAATCTCAAATATAAAGATCATTGGAAAGGAGGAGGTTGAGCGAAGTCTGTATGGTCAACTTGTTTTTGGTAAAGGTGTATCTTCTAGTTTGGATGAGCAACTAGCCAAGGAAGCTAGGAAAGCAGGTAGATTAGTGATCTTGAGTTGTTTCTTTATGACTTCAATGGGAGGCATTCTCATTTGTTCATAAGTTTTTTTTTTTTTTTTTTTTTTTATTGGTATTCATTCAGAAGATTTTTATTATTAAAGGCATCGTATTTTTTTGTTCTGGAGCAGCTTCTGCTGAGAAACTAAGGATAGCAGAGGAGGTTGCGTCCATGCTAAAGCTCAGAGTTGAGATTGGTACAGGCACACCTGAAAGGTCTGTTCATTTTAAATGTTACATGCACATCTCATATGCATCTTACATCATGAGGGTGGAAAAGAGAACAGAAAAATAGTATTAGTGTAGCATGAAGCAAATGTATTCATTAGTAAAATCTTAAATGTTAAATTTATAAGATATTCGCATTCAAAACTTATACCATCTCAACTGAGTGTCTTTTACTACCAGCCAATGTAATGATTGTGTCCCATTGTCAAAATTAACATTGGTCTTCTGTTTCCAGGTGAATACTTGACAGATTGTAATCTTTGGATTTGGATTGTCTTTTTTTTGTTTTGACAAGTAATTGAGATTTTATTAAAGAATAATCGAAAGATAGAGTGCAGCCTTCTAAATGAATAGAGTACTCCCCACAAGGAGGTGCAACATGCAGCCTCAAAACATCCCAAAAGTATCACAATTGAGCCCAAAATAGCTGATTCCTATGTACCCCTTGTTTGGCTAGATACTCTGCCAACCATCTGCTGATCTTCTTTTCCATTGAAAACTCACTGCCCTGTTTTGAGTCACCTTCAATTAGCAAATGTTCAAAACTCTATTCTTTAGCAATGTTGCTTCCTGTAACGCTGTTTGAACTTATGCATTAATTGAATCTCCCACTCCAATAGGACTAGAAAATAAGCAACAATCTGGCCCTCAGCATTTCTGAAGACTCCCCCAACTCCGGATGGCCTTGGGTTGCCTAGATTACTACCATCAAAGTTTAACATAATAATACTTTCTTCAGGGGGCCTTCACTCCACCACAGGCTTATCTCTAGCAACAGAACTTTTGGCAACCAGCTCCCAATTCCTCCAAATATCATCAAAGGAGAAGGGTAAGAAGAGGTCCAAAGATTTCACCCAATTTATACCCCTGCTTATTTTACAGTCCCATACATTAGTCTCATCCCTCTCCATAGCACTGAAGATTCTGGCATTTCTTTCCTCCCAAACAGTCTACACCAAAGCAACCCTAGCACACCTCCACAAGACTCTACCTCTTCTCTTTGGCCATAGGTTGTAGGGTTAAATAGACTACTAATCTGCATCAGCACTATCCACCTGCAACCAAAATAACCAAAAAGTTTCTCCGAAGATCTACAACAAAAGGGCAGTAGCTTAGTAAATGGTAGCGACTTTCTCCATTTGCTTTGCAGAGGATACACCAGTTAAAGGAGATAATGAGACCAGGTCTTCTTTTTTTTTCTGCAAGTTGTCCAAAGTATTTATTTTTCCAAGAAACACTTCCCAGCAAGGAGCTTCCACTTTAGGAGGAATAGGTTTGGACCAAATATCCTTGATATGAAAAGGCTGAAGATTAGGGACTGAGCTCAAGCAAGAAAAAAAAGAATCACAAGAAAATAAACTCAGAGGATTGGATTGTTAGCTATTGATGTTCCATGGATCTGGAAAAAAAAAGAGAAGCGACTAGAATCTTGCCATAAAGGCTCTTTCAACGTAAAATCACAAACATCTGATTTCTGGGTAAAGAGTAGACTGATTTCAACAGCACAGAACTATATTTAATTCAAAGATATAAGTGAAATAAGAAGAAAACAAGAAAGAGGGAAGGAAGAGAAGAGGAAGAGAAAAGAAGAAGAGAAATAGATGGGAGAAAGAGCAATCAGATTGTGGGGGTCATTGAACTCCCCACTATCTTTTATGCTTTAGTGCAATGAATGATTAATTATTAAATTTATAGTTATACACTTAATAGGGAAGTAACAACTAAGAACTAACATGTGGAGGCCCATAGGCTCAATGGTAAACAAACTAGAAAAGCCCATTATACAAAAATAAAACAAGAACTAAAAGATAGGCCTAATAAATAGTGATGCAGAGATGGAGAAGTTCATGCAAGCAGGTTGATGGAAAAGAACCTTCAAGGTTGAAGGAAAGGAATTTTTGTTTGAAGAAATGAGAATCAGGGGAATGCCAAGCCTGAAGATAAGGGAAGCAAAGAAGGGTATGATTTTTCTGGAAAGGCTAGAAGTAGTTGAATGGCTATGGGACTTCATAATTGGAGCTTGTCAAAAGGCAAGCAAACAAACTGGCAGGAATCTGGTAGTGAAGAAGGCAAGATATATGTGGTTGAATGTAAAGGAATATCAAAGGATTCTACAGAGTATTGGTTGAGCATTTCAGTAGGGGAAGAAAGCAGCTACAGTGTTTCCCAGAAGGAAGACAGAGCCATGACTGGGGGGAAATTAACAGATTACTCAACGAGTTTCTGTGTTAGTAGGTAGACCAGAGTGTTAGACCAGAGTGTTAGACCAGAGTGTTAGTAGGGCGGGATACATGGAACAGGAGCTTGTTGGTCATGGTTATATGGAGTTGACTAATCTCAAGAAAGATACACTATCTGTAGTTTAACATATGCATAAGTTTGGTGAACTATCTTTTAGATGTGACACTACAGAAAGTAAAATGCACAAATTAGATCGTTTCAAGAATGGATCAAGGGCTGACAGCAAGAAATTGTCAATGGTTCGAATTTATGACTTAGATCATGTATTTGAATTGGCTCCCAAGGTAGAGAAGCATCTATTTACAACAAAGAATTTGAAGCCAATGAGAAGAAGGTACTAAGTTGGAGATAAAGCAGATGATTCCTTGCATGTTAATGCCTATCCTAGAGCTAAAGTTGAAAATGAAGCTAGACAACCAAAATTCTAACCTAGAGAAGTTGTAGAAATTGCAGATCAAGAGGGTATGGACCAAGAACAGAAGGAAATTATTGGAGTTTCCAACACCCGTGATCAGCTTGGATTTAATGATCAAGAATATACAGAAGTGGAGCAAATTGAAGAAATTCTGGTGCAAGATACAAATTTTCTGGTTGTAGTAGATCTTAGCAAGGAAGTAAGTCATGACTTTACCCTACAAGTTCAATTGCAACCAATTCAGGAGTTACAAGCTGACATAGCACAAGTTCTACCAACATCAATATGGAAGAAGTCTTAGAGTTTACCAAGGAACCAATGGTAGCTAAATACATAGATATGGTGGTTCCTAAACTAGATATTGAAGGAAAGCTCCAAATGTTGCAGTTGAGATTTTGGATATGAAAGTTTGTAGTGATGAAGAAGGGGAAGATTCACCACAAGATGGGCATATTGCTCATTTATGAGTTCAAGAAGCTAATGTTATTGATGATTTAACAAAGAAGGTTATGGAAGGTGGTGTTTCAGATACACAATTCATTGCTTTCTTTTCTATCCATATGTTACATCTATTCTACAGTACAAGTGTATTGAAGAAGCAATGGGAACTCCTCCTTGTCATTGAGGCATGCCAACTTTTCATCCTCAAGTTCTTCAAAACTTGAGGGCAGGTTTTTTCAAACCAGGGAGAATGATGCAGGAGCTAAAAAATTGGAATTTTCTGAAATTTTATTTACTTCTGTATTTTTGGACAGTATGGCTGTTTTCATTATTTTAAGAGTTAAAGTCTTCTTTGAATTGAAATGGTATAATGGCAATTCAGTTTGAGTCTTGCTAGGTTTGTCATGAGTCTACAGTTTTGAGTCCTAAGATTCTTATGAGTCTACAGTGTATAAATATGGACGTTTTACACAAGGCTCACTGAAGTTTATTGAGTTTTTATGAGCTTATGCTAATTACAATGAGTGATTCCCATACCCTACAGTGATTCTTTCTTTTTCATTAGAGAAGCCATTATAGCCATCAACAGCCATAAATTTCTGATCAAGCCATTCAACATTCTCGAAAGGATTTGAACTTGTCCTACATAAAAAGTATTGCATATGAATGCTATACTTGTACCCGTTTTGATGCATCTGTATGGTTTAACATCCAAATAAATGATATGGAACCACTTCTTTATAATTATTATTATTATTATTAAAGGATAAAAGTTGCATGTCATAGCAACTACCAAGTTTATGAACATCTTAAACCCTTTATCATCTATAACTGATGTTTTGCTATTTATTTGTTATTTAATTAGTGTTTGTCCACAATGACGGAAATCTAAAAATTGTGGTTTATACAGTCTTCAAAACATTGTGGCATCATTGCGTGCTGGAGCAGAATATGCAAAAGTACCAGTACAGAACTGTGTGCTTATTGCTGGAAGCCATTCTGGAGTGGTGGGAGCTAAGCAAATTGGCATGCCATATGTGATTCTCCGGAGTAGGTAGGTGTTTTCTCCTTCAAGTTAACTATGTATCAGTGACCAATGTTGAGATATTATTTCAGCATTATGAATGTCTTGATTTGAAATTTTAATGCAGCTTGCACTAGCATCTTTTTAACTGTAGAGAAACCGATGTGCTGTGGGGCCACTCTGTCCATAGGGTAGAATATACCTAGTCTATCTGTTATGTTATTCTGTTATTCTAGTTCTGTTATTTAYKTTTYAGTTTTTTTTATATTGTTAAGTGTTATGATGTAAACACCAAGGGCAAATATGTCCTTTCATGTAACTAGCATAACATATAAATATTAAATTGAAGTGGCGGCGGCAGATCATTCAGAATCTGTCCTTCCTTTCAAACCT